CCTCAGTCATTCAGCTATCAAAAGCATTAATAGAAAAGACATCGCATGCCAATTGATGCAATTCAAATCTAAACTGTTCCCTTATTCTGATTCCAAAAATAAATATTATTTAAACTTGATTTTCAAAAACTCAATTGAAAAAAAATACGTTAACAACTGAAGTTAAACCATAAATATTTAAGCAGATGTCTCCATCTCTTCTTGAAGTCTACCGAACATTATGCAGAACACAGAACGGCTGCTTTGGCCCATCTCAGAGAAGACATGCAATTTGCAATCAGTTACGATGCAGATAATGCACCACTTACTGGACACTGTTGTAGCATTTAACATCAGTTTGGCATCAGTTTAGTACCCGACGCAAAAAGACCTTTACCCTAACAGGATCTCCTGTATTAACGAGTGCAATCAGTTTGAAGGCATGTGCATGTGCTTGAAACAAGATTGATGTTCTCCACCGATTGCATATCACAGGTTCGAGCTGAGTGTAGGAAGAAAAAACCCCACATTATTATAATTAAAACGTGTTATTAATTGTGAGCCCATTTAATATACTGTAGTTATGTCCAAACGCTCAAAATGTGATTGCACAATGTGAACATGCGCTTTGTTTAAAGAATACGCTGGACGCACAAGCGTGTCCTAAATGATTGTCAATTTGATTATTAAGTAATTTGCCGAACGTTGACAACCCAAAGCAAGCAGACCTATTTCGTGAAAACCATGTGTTATGTAAAGACCTACTTGATTTTGGCCCACACACCACCCAACACAAGCATTACACATCCACCTTCAGAAAATGACCTCTTGAAAGTGTTCACATCAATCCATATGTTCATTTTACATTTTCTGCAAGCGGACACAACCTCAAACTAAGAGGTCCCCTCAGGGCTTGAAAACATTAGTTCGTTAATTAGTCGAGGACCCAAACAACATGACCCTGACCAAAAGGGCCCGAGAATACATTCGCTTAAACCAGCTCGGGCGAAAGCGCACACGCGCTCACAGTCACAACTCGTCAATGATAAACTGTAAAACATTCATTTTAACATGTCGGGGCACAAGCAGACGCACGGCATCGCATTGTGTCAAAGCATTTGTGGTGCATACTGCCCCTGGCAATACAAGTCACAGCCGATGGGAACAGCTACCCCAGTCTCCACGGAATCCCATTTGCAAAGATACTTGGTTGCCATAACGCACAGATTATGAATAAATCCTGCTATCAGAGCACAGATGGTGCGATAAAGGAATTCTAACAGAAGCAATGAGAAAAAAAAACTGTTTAGAATTTTTTCGAGTGGCATTTTTATATCCCTTATATATATGCGTTGCATCCACTACGATGCTGCAGTGTGCATTCAACAGATGTAGTTCGGACAAACGGTCACATTTTGATTTAAATGTGTTCCTCCTGTATTCAAGGATGAATTAAAATGTACAAATTCTAACTGAAACGATACCTTAGTTCATGTATTAAAATGGGTTGTATTAATTAGAGAATCAGATAATGCCAAAACATTTAATGAGCCAGATATAGCATATAAGCTCGCCGATATTCTACATGGGGTGGAGTGGTGGGTGCAGTGGTTGATTTAGCCAGTTACGTTCAATTCCTAGCCGTGGATAACAACAGCAGTGATACCTGAACAGGCCCCAGTCTTCCCCAACGGCAACAGGACAAGAGCAACGAAGTATGGTCAAACAAACCCCCAAGATGAAACCAGTTGATTGACAAAGGGCTGTAAATTATATTTTTAATACACAATACAGCTCTCTAAGCACTTCTGAAATGTATGGTATCCTCACAGCAACAGTAAATGATTCAATGGTACTCTGGGTAGTTGTTAGGATTTATTGCCAAATAAAACCAACGCAATTTTCAAATGCAAAGCATTCTCTTTGAGAGTAATATTCAAGTTATAAAATGACCATGGCTTTCCTCAATAGCACTTGATAATGTCAACAGACTTTTCACATTTGAGCCAGCCTTCACAATGCATCAACCTTAAACCATAATCTTGTTTAATTACCATGTACGGTATAGAAAGAGACGAAGATATCATGTTTATTATTACAGCATCGCGGAAGATGGTTTCGGTGGAGGACTTAATAATGACAATCACGCACACTGGGGTGGTAGGGCCAATAACACGCACACTCATTAGTTAGTTTTTCCTCCCGAGGGCTGACTTCAACACACCATTCCGTGTACTCGTTCTAGGCCGAGTAAACCGAAGAGGGGATGCATGCCAGACTCAAATACCAACTTGCCGTAGGTGTTTGTGGCCAAGAACATGTCCTAGATTCTAGTTTGTTTAAAGTGCAATTCGCAAATGAACACGACCTCTTTATCCAAAGAAGCATGTGATCAAATATCATTTGCAATTAGCCGTGCTTTATCTGAGAGTAATGTGCGTGATTTTTGTTTAAATTTGGGGACGTTTCCAAAAATCTGCGACTTACTCTTGCAGATTAGGCCACATGAGCTTCAATGTCTACGTTATAGCAGCCAATATTTCCCAGAACAGCCTCGCGGGAGTCGAATTTGCCTGCAAAGTCCTTTGCAAAATGCCACATCGCAGAAGGTATACTGACCACTCGGCTATCCAGCACCCCGCGCGTTTGTATGTGTGTGTTTACTGATATGTGAACGCGCGCTATGTCCTTGTGCTGACTGTTCATACAGAGTAGTAATTTATTTAAATATGTGTGAGGTCTGAAATTATCAATTTTGGATTTTCCAACAGTTAATCTAATACTGCTGCCAGTTTCAGAATAAGGTGGCCGGCCAAGGGACCATCTGCTGTAATAAAATAAAGCTCCGCTTTAACAGTGGGGTTCCATAAATAAAACCACGTAAAGTCCCTTAACTGGATCAGTGATTAAATTTTATTGATCTCAGATTGCTGGAAAGTCCGTGCCAAATGAACCACTTTATCCGCAGCCATGTGGAGTAGCAGTCACGGCAATGTGCGCTCAATAAATATGGCTCAGGCAGACATTTCCTGCAAAACTCATTTGGTGAAACATACGCTACACACTGCACATTAAAATAGAACTAGCAATTAGCAGCAGCAGCAGCAGCAACAGTATCCGCCAGAGCCCCCCACCCAATAGCAATGCAATGTGTTGCGGCTTTTTATTTTGATCATATCCACATGTTACGCGTGAAACGTTGCATGTTTCAAGTACAGAGGCAGACGCAATCAGAACAAAATTAATTAGGTCTTCGGGGGGCTTGGGGCGCGTTTAAAGTTCTCCGACACAAAAGGGCCACCGCGCTGCTGTACGTTCTGAAAGTGTCCGTCAAAAAAAAATGTGAAAAAATGTGTGTGTGTTTTGCGGTTCCTGAGATAGATGCACGCACGCAAACCGCAGCTGTATTCGGCCGCCGCCGCCGCCACACACACACGCACGCACACACAACCATTCCTTGAGGATCTGCGGGGCGGCGCAGTTGGGATCAAATACATTACACGAAGAACGACCCACCCTAGCCCCGGCTTTCTAGAGATGATGTGAGGAGAGCTGTCGCTGGCAGAGGTAAAAAAAAAAACTGCGCTAAAATCGATATTAAAAAGCGCGCATCGGGCCCTTCCCACGGCTCATTGGAAATGATTTGTTCGGCAAGAAACAAAATTGATGGCACGTCCCTACTGACCTAAACGTTATGGATTCCGGTGGCGGAACATCAGACGCACGCGCGCGCGCACAGCCACACAAAGCGCCGTGTTGTCGCATGTATCACGATAATTGGAAACGAACTGCGAGGAACGATGGATCGGCGTCAGCTGGGAAGACGGACAAGGCGGGCGAACAGCGGCGCGCGCGCGCGCGTGCAAATAACGGCGCGTTGCTTCAAACTTTAGCGATATGCGTAATGAGATGCGGTGCGCACTTTGTACGCATTTCCATTGCGAAGCGGGGCTCGCATCGGATTTGATGGGGGGTGGAGTGTGGGGGGGAGGCGCTCTCTCGCCTATGCGCAATGGGCTGTTAAAAAAAACATGGTCAGGCTCATGTGTTCTGAATCATAGATTATACTTGTAATGATCCAATAATAAGCAACGGCAACACACACACAAAACTTTCGCTCTACGCGTGCACTGGCGTCTCCCTCGAGTTGCGTGTCTTGAATTTTCGCACGTTCAGCTTCAATTATAACGGCGGTGTGAATAGCGCATAAAAATAAATGCATTGCAGGCGATCGTGCCACTACGTAATTAAGCGGTGCGAGCGGTTGCAGAGGAGCGCAGCGGTTTCAAGCGCACGTCCGGACACCCAACTGGAGCGTGGCTATTATATTCGATTAGAAATCGACAATAATTAGAATAGCGATACTGTGCGCTTATATACAACTGAACTGGGAGAAAGAGAAAAACACCCCCGCAGCCCCCCCTCCATTTAAAACAAACTGCAACTCAGACGCTCCAAAGGTTGGTTCAAGATAATGTAATGGAAGGAAATTAAATCCCATCAAACGTTCTATCAACTTTAGCAGCGAATTCAACGTGACGACCAGACGCGCATGCTTCACAGCTGGGGGTTTACACCACCCCCCCCTCTTCCAAAAGTATTACCGAAACATATTTCACTGCCTCGACGTTCGTGTCCGTGCGCAATGTGCAACCTCTAAGTGCGTTAGACTCGGCGAGAACTGACAAGAGAAAGTACTCGTGATGGCAAGTACTGGAACGATACGCGCGTATCGCCAAATGCCACGTCCAGTTAACTCCTTTGTGTCAAGTACTCGCTTCACATATACAACAACAACATGTGCGTTAAAACTGCGGACGGGCTGTGGTGCCAACCGACTGGAGCGCTTCACAAACAGCGCCCTTCACGCGCTTAGCGCACGCAAGGAAACCCACGGATCCATCTTCGCCGTTTACGCACGAGTTTTTGTTTTTTACATCAGTTGGATTAGCGTCAGCAGCAGCAGCAGCAACAACAACAAAAAGTAACAACGAGTAGTGGTGGCTTGCATGCGAACCCACCGGTTAGGACTGGGCAGAGAAGGAGGACGCTGACGAGCCACATGCCATACGCTGCTCGGGCTGGGAGCGCGCGTGTGATGTCTCTCTCCGCTCCTGGTCTCCTCCGTGCGGTGCGAACGCGTGCGCTGCCTGAACGCGCGCGTGTACTTCTGCGCGTGTGTGTGTGTGTGAGAGCGCGCCTCCGTGTGTGTGTGTAACTGTGTGTGCCAAGGCGGGACCCCACGGGGCGACGGTAATGGCAACTACGTCACTCGTGTTTAGTAGTAATAATAAAACATTTGAGAGCGCGATACATACGTACACGCTCGCGAGTAACCGCGTGCGTGCGCACGCTCGTGGGTAACCGCGTGCGTGCGTGCGTGCGAGAAGTGCGTGAGTGCGCCGAGTTGCGTCTCAGACTACTGCTACCATGAACACCTCTGCTCGGTTCCCCTTCTGTGCGCGCGAGCGCTGCTTCAAGATGATGATGCTGCTGTTGCTGCTGCTGATGCTGATGACAACCAGCGTGTATTCGGGGAGTGACCTGTGCCGGCTACGAGGATTATTTGGGTGGGAGGTGCGAGGAGGGGGTGGGAGGGAGGATTCGTGTTTATGGGACAGGGGAGAGAGGGGGTTGGAGTATAAGAGGAAGAAGCACAGTATAAGAAATGGAGATGAGCAGTGTGGAGAGGTGATGGATGTCTTGGGGTAGTGCGGTGGATTTGTCGGGTCGTGTTGGGGTAGTGTGGGAGACGTGTGGGGGTAGTGTGGGGGTAGTGTGGGGGGTAGTGTGGGGGTAGTGTGGGGGACGTGTGGGGGTAGTGCGGTGGATTTGTCGGGTCGTGTTGGAGTAGCGTGGGAGACGTGTGGGGGTAGTGTGGGGTAGTGTGGGGGTAGTGTGGGGGACGTGTGGGGGTAGTGTGGGGGACAGTGTGTGGGACGTGTGGGGGTAGTGTGGTGGATTTGTCGGGTCGTGTTGGAGTAGTGTGGGGGTAGTGTGGGGGTAGTGTGGGGGGTAGTGTGGGAGACGTGTGGGGTAGTGTGGGGGACGTGTGGGGGTAGTGTGGGGGACGTGTGGGGGTAGTGTGGGGGTAGTGTGGGGGACGTGTGGGGGTAGTGTGGGGGTAGTGTGGGGGACGTGTGGGGGTAGTGTGGGGGTAGTGTGGGGGACGTGTGGGGGACGTGTGGGGGTAGTGTGGGGGTAGTGTGGGGGACGTGTGGGGGTAGTGTGGGGGACGTGTGGGGGTAGTGTGGGGGACGTGGGGGTAGTGTGGGGGTAGTGTGGGGGTAGTGTGGGGGACGTGTGGGGGTAGTGTGGGGGTAGTGTGGGGGACGTGTTGGGGACGTGTGGGGGTAGTGTGGGGGTAGTGTGGGAGGCGTGTGGGGGTAGTGTGGGAGACGAGTGGGGGTAGTGTGGGGGTAGTGTGGGAGGCGTGTGGGGGTAGTGTGGGGGTAGTGTGGGAGACGAGTGGGGGTAGTGTGGGGGTAGTGTGGGAGGCGTGTGGGGGTAGTGTGGGGACGTGTGGGGGTAGTGTGGGGGTAGTGTGGGGGACGTGTGGGGGTAGTGTGGGGGTAGTGTGGGGGACGTGTGGGGGTAGTGTGGGGGACGTGTGGGGGTAGTGTGGGGGTAGTGTGGGGGTAGTGTGGGGGACGTGTGGGGGTAGTGTGGGGGACGTGTGGGGGTAGTGTGGGGACGTGTGGGGGTAGTGTGGGGGTAGTGTGGGGGTAGTGTGGGGGACGTGTGGGGGTAGTGTGGGGGTAGTGTGGGGGTAGTGTGGGGGACGTGTGGGGGAAGTGTGGGGGTAGTGTGGGGGGTAGTGTGGGGGTAGTGTGGGGGTAGTGTGGGGGACGTGTGGGGGTAGTGTGGGGGTAGTGTGGGGGTAGTGTGGGGGACGTGTGGGGGTAGTGTGGGGGACGTGTGGGGGTAGTGTGGGGGTAGTGTGGGGGGGTAGTGTGGGGGACGTGTGGGGTAGTGTGGGGGTAGTGTGGGGTAGTGTGGGGGTAGTGTGGGGGTAGTGTGGGGTAGTGGGGTAGTGTGGGGGTAGGGTGGGGGTAGTGTGGGGACGTGTGGGGGTAGTGTGGGGGTAGTGTGGGGGACGTGTGGGGGTAGTGTGGGGGTAGTGTGGGGGACGTGTGGGGGTAGTGTGGTGGATTTGTCGGGTCGTGTTGGAGTAGTGTGGGGGTAGTGTGGGGGGTAGTGTGGGAGACGTGTGGGGTAGTGTGGGGGACGTGTGGGGGTAGTGTGGGGGACGTGTGGGGGTAGTGTGGGGGTAGTGTGGGGGACGTGTGGGGGGTAGTGTGGGGGTAGTGTGGGGGTAGTGTGGGGGACGTGTGGGGGTAGTGTGGGGGTAGTGTGGGGGACGTGTGGGGGACGTGTGGGGGTAGTGTGGGGGTAGTGTCGGGGACGTGTGGGGGTAGTGTGGGGGTAGTGTGGGGGACGTGTGGGGGTAGTGTGGGGGTAGTGTGGGGGACGTGGGGGGTAGTGTGGGGGTAGTGTGGGGGACGTGTGGGGGTAGTGTGGGGGTAGTGTGGGGGACGTGTTGGGGAACGTGTGGGGGTTAGTGTGGGAGACGAGTGGGGGTAGTGTGGGGGTAGTGTGGGGGTAGTGTGGGGGACGAGTGGGGGTAGTGTGGGAGACGAGTGGGGGTAGTGTGGGGGTAGTGTGGGGGTAGTGTGGGAGACGAGTGGGGGTAGTGTGGGAGACGAGTGGGGGTAGTGTGGGAGGCGTGTGGGGGTAGTGTGGGGGTAGTGTGGGAGACGAGTGGGGGTAGTGTGGGGGACGTGTGGGGGTAGTGTGGGAGGCGTGTGGGGGTAGTGTGGGGGACGTGTGGGGGTAGTGTGGGGGGAGTGTGGGGGACGTGTGGGGGTAGTGTGGGGGTAGTGTGGGGGACGTGTGGGGGTAGTGTGGGGGACGTGTGGGGGTAGTGTGGGGGTAGTGTGGGGGACGTGTGGGGGTAGTGTGGGGGACGTGTGGGGGTAGTGTGGGGGACGTGTGGGGGTAGTGTGGGGGTAGTGTGGGGGACGTGTGGGGGTAGTGTGGGGGTAGTGTGGGGGTAGTGTGGGGGACGTGTGGGGGTAGTGTGGGGGTAGTGTGGGGGGGTAGTGTGGGGGTAGTGTGGGGGTAGTGTGGGGGACGTGTGGGGGTAGTGCGGTGGATTTGTCGGGTCGTGTTGGAGTAGTGTGGGGGTAGTGTGGGGGGTAGTGTGGGAGACGTGTGGGGTAGTGTGGGGGACGTGTGGGGGTAGTGTGGGGGACGTGTGGGGGTAGTGTGGGGGTAGTGTGGGGGACGTGTGGGGGTAGTGTGGGGGTAGTGTGGGGGACGTGTGCGGGTAGTGTGGGGGTAGTGTGGGGGACGTGTGGGGGACGTGTGGGGGTAGTGTGGGGGTAGTGTGGGGGACGTGTGGGGGTAGTGTGGGGGTAGTGTGGGGGACGTGGGGGTAGTGTGGGGGTAGTGTGGGGGTAGTGTGGGGGACGTGTGGGGGTAGTGTGGGGGTAGTGTGGGGGACGTGTTGGAGACGTGTGGGGGTAGTGTGGGAGACGAGTGGGGGTAGTGTGGGGGTAGTGTGGGAGGCGTGTGGGGGTAGTGTGGGGGTAGTGTGGGAGACGAGTGGGGGTAGTGTGGGGGTAGTGTGGGGGTAGTGTGGGGGACGTGTGGGGGTAGTGTGGGGGTAGTGTGGGGGTAGTGTGGGAGGCGTGTGGGGGTAGTGTGGGGGACGTGTGGGGGTAGTGTGGGGGACGTGTGGGGGTAGTGTGGGGGACGTGTGGGGGTAGTGTGGGGGTAGTGTGGGGGACGTGTGGGGGTAGTGTGGGGGACGTGTGGGGGTAGTGTGGGGGTAGTGTGGGGGTAGTGTGGGGGACGTGTGGGGGTAGTGTGGGGGTAGTGTGGGGGTAGTGTGGGGGTAGTGTGGGGGTAGTGTGGGGGTAGTGTGGGGGGTAGTGTGGGGGTAGTGTGGGGGACGTGTGGGGGTAGTGTGGAAGACGAGTGGGGGTAGTGTGGGGGTAGTGTGGGAGGCGTGTGGGGGTAGTGTGGGGGTAGTGTGGGAGACGAGTGGGGGTAGTGTGGGGGTAGTGTGGGGGTAGTGTGGGGGACGTGTGGGGGTAGTGTGGGGGTAGTGTGGGGGTAGTGTGGGAGGCGTGTGGGGGTAGTGTGGGGGACGTGTGGGGGGTAGTGTGGGGGACGTGTGGGGGTAGTGTGGGGGGAGTGTGGGGGTAGTGTGGGGGACCGTGTGGGGTAGTGTGGGGGGTAGTGTGGGGGACGTGTGGGGGTAGTGTGGGGGAAGTGTGGGGGTAGTGTGGGGGTAGTGTGGGGGTAGTGTGGGGACGTGTGGGGGTAGTGTGGGGGACGTGTGGGGGTAGTGTGGGGGACGTGTGGGTGGTAGTGTGGGGGTAGTGTGGGGTAGTGTGGGGGACGTGTGGGGGTAGTGTGGGGGTAGTGTGGGGGGTAGTGTGGGGGACGTGTGGGGGTAGTGTGGGGTAGTGTGGGGGTAGTGTGGACGTTGTGTGGGTAGTGTGGGGGTAGTGTGGGGTAGTGTGGGGGACGTGTGCGGGGTAGTGTGGGGGTAGTGTGGGACGTGTGGGACGTGTGGGGGACGTGTGGGGGTAGTGTGGGGGTAGTGTGGGGGTAGTGTGGGGGTAGTGTGGGGGACGTGTGGGGTGTGGGGGTAGTTGTTGGGGGTGTGGGGTAGTGTGGGGGTACGTGTGGGGGACGTGTGGGGGTAGTGTGGGGGTAGTGTGGGGGTACGTGTGGGGGGTAGTGTGGGGGTAGTGTGGGGGTAGTGTGGGGGTAGTGTGGGGGTACGTGTGGGGGTAGTGTGGGGGACGTGTGGGGGTTAGTGGGGGTAGTGTGGGGGTAGTGTGGGGACGTGTGGGGGACGTGTGGGGGAAGTGTGGGGGACGTGTGGGGGTAGTGTGGGGGTAGTGTGGGGGTAGTGTGGGGGTAGTGTGGGGGTAGTGTGGGGGTAGTGTGGGGGACGTGTGGGGGTAGTGTGGGGGTAGTGTGGGGGTAGTGTGGGGACGTGTGGGGAAGTGTGGGGGTAGTGTGGGGGTAGTGTGGGGGGACGTGGGGGTAGTGTGGGGGTAGTGTGGGGGTAGTGTGGGGGTAGTGTGGGAGGACGTGTGGGGGGTAGTTGTGTGGGTAGTTGTGGGGGTAGTGTGGGGGACGTGTGGGGGACGTGTCGGGGTAGTGTGGGGGTAGTGTGGGGGACGTGTGGGGGACGTGTCGGGGTAGTGTGGGGGACGTGTGGGGGACGTGTGGGGGTAGTGTGGGGGTAGTGTGGGGGGTAGTGTGGGGGACGTGTGGGGGACGTGTGGGGGTAGTGTGGGGGTAGTGTGGGGGTAGTGTGGGGGACGTGTGGGGGTAGTGTGGGGGTAGTTTGGGGGTAGTGTGGGGGTAGTGTGGGGGACGTGGGGGTAGTGTGGGGGGTAGTGTGGGGGTAGTGTGGGAGACGTGTGGGGGTAGTGTGGGGGTAGTGTGGGGGACGTGTCGGGGTAGTGTGGGGGACGTGTGGGGGACGTGTGGGGGAC